GAGTATCAAGATGTATAGCTTTGTAGAAACATTTAGTGTGATAAATGTAATGTTTTATTAGAATTAAGATCTCATTATTAACTGAACTGGCATATGTTGACATGATTCCAAATAGAAATTATACTTTATTGAACGAGAATGTAATAAACAGAATATCAAAAAATTGTCAAATTCCTGTAAAAACCCTTGTACTTCTTTACATTCCCATAAGCGGTGAATTAATGTCTCTGGTTCATTATTAGACAGTATATATTGTGATTTGAATGAAATTTCTATTTCAATAAAAGAAAATTGTTTGTAGCCAGGAAATATGGTATATTATTCTTACCTGAAGCCATTTCAACTTTTTGAGATTTTAAAGGCAATTTCAAAAATCTCAACATTCCATTTCAATAAATCAATGAAAAAAGACGCTTTCCGTTTGCTAAAACCTGCAGGCGCTGGTGCTGGTGTAATGAGATATCTGTAGAAGTCTTTTGAACCTTTTTTCATTTCTGAAAAAAAAACAATCCCAAAAAAGCGGTATAAAAGTTTGAGATGCTTTCATCATCAGAAATTCAAATTTCTCCAAAAACGTTCTTTCCGTCGTTTGTGGTAACGCTATATAGATTAAGAGATTCTTGACGTGTATAAAATATTAGATTTACAGGAACTTTAATCAAGTTATTCTATGTTAATATATTTGCATTAAACCAGTGTTGGTAAACATTAATTTATTACCAACTTGTATATCATTATTGTACAAGAGAGGAGTTTTCAAAATACCCCTGTAGAATCATGATTTATCAAATGATTCATAAAGAGTGACGATTTGTTATTTTTCCCAGCCATGAAACACATCTTTCCGGAATTTATTAGAACATATGGAACTACATAAATGAATAAATTACAACAGTTTTGCAACTTCTTCTGATCTATGATAGTGTTCAGGAGCACAGTCCATTTTCCGTCTGACTTAAAAAAACTTACGGACCCAAGTTTAAGAGACAACACCTCATTTTATCTCGTGTGACCCTTCATTCCAAAGAAAATAAGAAATAAGATAATTAGATGAAATATCTCTCTGAAGGGTTCGGTAAAGTAATAAACAAGTAGTTGAGCTGAGATATCAACAAAGATTTCATTACTTTTATCTTACCAATAGGAGTAAAATTCCGCTTTTTCCAAGCATCAATTAGAGATTTCAGTTTTACTATTTTTTTATCATAATTCAATTTAGAGATTACAGTAAAGTCAACAGAAAAGTAAATTCCCAAAATGTGAATCTAGTTCTTCCCCAATGTAAGTTTAATTCTGGTTAAAAATGTTTCCTTGTCGTACCTTTTACTACCAAACCATATAATATTTTTCTTATCGGTATAGATGTTAAGTCCTGCGATCTTAAAAACACTTTTTAATTCATTAAGAGACTCACTTAAAGATATTTGAGAACACTCTAGCCCTAAACCATCTACATACTGTCAATTCAAAATACACTATAGATATATTTTCCAGTGCGAGCCCCCTTATATTTTCATTTCTTCTCAGGCGCAAAGAATAAAACCATATGAAGCACTTTTGTCACCGTTTAAGATGTTGCTAGCAGTCCTGATTCATTAATGAATACATATTAGAATGGAGTGTTTAAAGCCACTTTTCGTATGTAACTCTGAAAAATAACAACAAATTACAACTCTTTCCCTTCCTTGATCTGTTCACCAACGCGCTCACCTACACATACCACCCGCATACATACATTTATACTCCGTCATTTCCTCACTGGATTTACCCATGATTAAACATGTCTTAAGGCACGATTACTCGTTAAAAGAAATTAAATAACGGAGGTGTTTGGAATAGGAAGGGAGGTTCCGGAACACGGGGACCTCCCCAAAGATCCGACCCTGTTTTCACCCTAAAAGAGTTTACTCAAAATGTTTACGTCAGCCTGATTTACTCAATATAATAATTAATAATTGAATCAACATTGACACCAAGTTCTGGACTGTCGTTAGCACGCCTACCCTTTTTTTCACAGAACGCTCTATTTACGACACCCGCCATTAAATGTAGGTCGCGCGACGAGAACATTCTTACTCTGAACACCATGTCAGAAATCTCCTCGGGCGGGTTGTCACATCCCTCCTTATCTTATCCTTTAAAGGCACGTGTCTTAAGCGGTTTGCATTCTTTTACTGACGTCACCAAAACGTAATCACGTAGTAAATTTAATACGCACAAACTATAAACAATTGCCCATATACGGAGTGATTTATATGTATACAATTCAATTGTGTAATTAAATGATTGTGTTTGGCTGTATAGTGCGGTCTGTCACGGTATAATGGGGACTTGTATAGCTGTATTGTAAACTACACGAACAATATCTGATATGATTGACAGAAGTTAGTTACTATCTGATCGGGGCGCCACCTACCACAGATACACCATATATATTTGTACGGCTGACTTCAATGACGTTACACATAGCTGTGTCCACATGTAGGCAGGTCGTATATAAAACACGTAATACTAGGATTTACATGGCCTTCCTCTACAGAGGTATTGATGTGTTTGTTTTAATGATAATCACACCTCACTGAATACCGAATTAAGGTAAGTCCTGGGTATCACTGGTACTTAACGATGTGATGTATATAATTATCGTATGTTACACATTATACCAGTATGCAAGTCTTTGTACTATCAATAGATACATCAGAAATTATCACCTCACAAATGAAAAGAACAAACTGTCTTAATTTATATTAACAACAGAGTCTTAAATTAACCTGTTGGTCTACATGATATCTGAATTTAATAAAATAAGTAAACTCATAAATAATATTCACTCTGTAAGGCACTTTGAAAAGTCTGTTTAGGACAAATTCTCCAGCTTGTAAGAATTACATCATTTTTAGAAAAGGAGGAAAATTGAATATCATTCTCTGTCAGCTAAGGAATTCAGCCAGCTCTCTAACTCATGATCTACATAAAGACCATCTTTATGATAACCCATCCTGTGCATGTGGTACCCCAACTGAAACAGCTCAACATATCTATTTTGACTGCCCTTAAAATATTAACCCTAGACAAAGTCTATTACAAACTCTAAACACCCATAATCTTAACCACTATGAACTAAACTATGTTTTGCATGGCTGCCCAGTCTGTACCACCCACATCAATAAATCGTAGTTTGACGCTGTAATTAAATATCCTGATGATACAGAAAGGCTTTAATGTTCAACTAAATATCTACTGACATGAGTTGAAATTAGAGAACAAATCTAGAGATAAAGCAAAATACAATTAAAAAAAAAATTGATATCCTGTCATAGTTATATTTTTTCTGATTTATTTCCAATATTTCAGTTATCATCTTATAATAAGGATACAACTCTGATCAGTTATTTATCTTGGTCTGAATATCCTTAGGATAATAATCCTTTGATAAAAAATGAAGTGGGAGAGGGCTAACTTTTATATCATGGACATTCTGGCCCAAACCTCTTTTATATGGGAGAGAAAGTACATGTAATACAAAATTTAATATCATAAGACATAGTAAAGGAAAAAGCTGATGGGTTGTTAATAATCTTCATACAATCATAAGATTTAAGTATAAAAAATTAACAGAATTAGTCTGTCAATACAAAAATGATGTATGTGTGTGTGTGTGTGTGTGCGTTTGTATGTGTGTGTGTGTTTGTGTGTGTGTGCGTGTGTGTGTGTGTGTGTGTTTGTGTGTGTGTTTGTGTGTGTATGTATGTGTGTTTGTGTGTGTGTATGTGTTTGTGTGTGTGTTTGTGTGTGTGTGTGTGTGTGTGCGTGTGTGTGTGTGTGTGTGTGTGGTGTATTATGTCTTACCTACGTGTTGTCTAGGGAGAGAAGACTTATATAGCTATATATATAAATGTCTACTCCTGTTGATTTTTTATATCAATAAAATATTCTGAATTAAAAAAAACACAGTATTAAGTACTTAGTTTTAATCCTATTCGGCATAAACACAAGGCAATAGAATGAGGAAGACATGCTAATGGTGAGTTCTGAAGCGTCTCTTTATTCGTTAATTGGCGACCGGATGGCACTGTTGGTACGAAACAATACGCGAAATTTCATAACTTTTAATAAGTCAACCACCAAGTAATACATCATCAAACCGTTACACAGAGTTATCACCCCTTACTTTCAAAGAACGACAACTCGGGTAGAACTGGAGTTATCACGGTGTAATACTTGATACGACAAAGCTATAACATTTGACAGACGATAGTGATAGGAAGCCACTATCTACTTACGAAACAGTGTATAATGAAATCAATACTTCCTAGTATAAAGTATACGGGTATCTCGCCGCATCATTAAAATAGTAATACGTATGTAAAATCTGCCTCGTAATTTTGGTTGTTGTTAGCCGAACTTATCATCCCTTGACCAATCCAGGTCATTTGCAGGCAGGAGATCCGGTTAGCAGATGAAGGCTACCTAACTGAACAACATACGGGAGACCCGTGGTATGCCATATAGAGAAAATAGGGTAAAGTGTCCTTCACAAGGATATGATACAAGAATGTTTATTTTACTTCGAATGTATAGTACATGGGAGCATACCTTAAACAAAAACGTACGATTGAAAAATGACGAGAAATAATATCAGTTTGTCACAGTATGGTTGTTTTAAGCTCAACAATAAATAAATAAATAAAAATGAATATAAAAATGAGTTCATAAGTAAGAATGAGCACTAACATGGAATGGGGACAGTGTTACTCAATCTGTAGACCGGTAAGTAGAGACACTTCATGAGGTGGAATGATACAGAAGGTATCACACATCTGTCAAATTGGTCTCCTGTTGTAGTGTCCATACTTAACACGTTATTATAGATCAATGAAATATTACGTTAGATTATATCTAATTCGATATTACATTAAACTTTGATATTTTGTTATGATATTGGAATTTTCTTGTTACAGATCATAAAGCATTACCCTTTTGGATCACGTGACTCAAACATGGACCACAATCATCTAGAGGTGCCAACGGAAATAACTGGTGAGAGATCTAAAACCAAACTGGAACCGGTTAGAGGTGCGAGAGAAAAAGAGCACCATGGACGCCAAAGTCACAGACATTTACGGAATGCCGATGGAACGCTTGCCAAAGTCACGAGTTTTGGTGACTCGGCACTGGAAAATCTACACTACGTGACTGTGTTCGGTGAAGATAAACGAAGACGGAGACACCACCATTTTGAGGACGTAGAACCTACTGGTGATATCCTTGACAACGGTAACGTGACCTTAGACAAGTTCCGATTTGATTACTTATTTGGTGGTGGATCTAGATCCAAAAGTCCTAAACCGGAAGAGGATGTCGCTCATGTGGAACACGTGTACAGCCGAAGTGTGAGCAGAAACATGCCTTATTACGGTTCGCCAGAAATACAAACGACGTTCACGACCTCTCGAAAACTCGGGGAAGTGTCAAAAATAGTCCCGATAGAGGATAACAAAGCTTGGATAAATACAGTGGGTGATTCATTTTTAACATTGATTGATAAGACAGGGAAACGGCTCAACAGGTCACCGATCTATGATAACTGTATCTGGGATTTCGCCCTAAACAGAAAACACAAAATGTTTATAACGGTGGACCGAAGTTCGTTGGTGCATGCTCTAACACCCTATGGTGAACAAACAGCAGCAGGGAATTTTCTGGGTTACCAGCCCTATGGTATAGACGTGACGGAAGACGGAAGACTCCTCGTCTGTATTCGGCCATTACCTGGAACAACGAGTCATAGCAAACTCGTGATAATTGGTCAAAATGGTCAAATTATACGTGAAGTACAAACACGTGAAGATAAAAAGACTCCATTGTTTTTGGACCCGTACAATGTTCACTGTATCAAAAACGGGAAAATTTTTATACGTGATGGCAATACAAAAGTTGTGTGTCTTAGTGAAAAAGGTAAACATTTGTACACATGGGCAAATCATAGCGATGACCTTGACACGGAAGAGGAAGTTTTTAATCCTTCTCGTTTGACCTCTGACCGTCACGGATCACTGATCGTGTCATCGAAAGACGCTAACAAAGTGTACATTTTGCCTGTAGACGGACAGGGATTGCGCTGTCTCCTGGACGTTACCCACGGGGTGCATGGCCCGTGGGCATTGGGCGCATACAAGGACGGGAATCTGTGGGTCTCTTGTAAAGATAGGAAAATGCATATAATTAAATATTGACACAAATGTTCAATATACGATTTCTTCTCCTCACCTTCCACAAACTTATTGGCGTCAAAGACAAAACGAATAATAATAGCGAATAAGTAAGCTATACTGAAACAAACAAAAAAACAAACCAGAAAAAACAAAACAAACGAACAAACAAAAATCGCTGTTGTTTTTTCATCCAGAAAAGATATGTTAATATCACTTGTATGATTATGTGCTACATGTATGACTGAGGAAATGTGATAAACTGAATGTTTCCTTTGTTCTGTTATTTTACGTCATTAAAGAAAAGAGATATCTTGTGAGAATGGATTTCGTGTTTGTCTAATGCTGTCTTGGCAAAAGATCCTAAAATTAACAAGTTTTGAGATAAATTTTGATAGATTCAGCTATCTAACAAAACAAAAACAAGTTAGTTCAGAGCATTTCCGGCACCCTCAACTGTCAAGCTTAACGCTTTACCATTAACTCTGAGATTGATCAAGAGAGGATAGCTAGCATACGACTATATGTTTATCTTAATACAAACTCTATCAAGAGAGGCGTGCGGACTATTTTGAACTGACACCGGAGTGCAATACATCTTCACTACATTAAATCAGACATATTAATTAATCTATATCCATAACCAAAGGTTATTTTTAGAATTTCCTACTTCATGCGCTGGGCTTCCGATATCATTGCTGTCAATCCTAAAGCTATTACATCTTCCTTACATTAAACCAGAGTTATTTTTAGAATATCCTTCATCATGTGCTAGAATATCGACACCATAACTGAAGTTCCTAAAGCTCTTCCGGTCGGAACATTTAAATATTCTTCCTTATTTAATTGCAAATTATAAGTATGTATAATTTTCTTCGATCACATGACTGGTCTGCTGTGTTCTGTTATATGACAAATTCATAGATATCATGATACAATTAAAGAACGCTATTGTGGCGTCATATATAAGCCACGTCCGGATGACATCATACGATTGTCTCGGTAGTGAAAAACGTGCTATCCGCGTCGAAGTGTGTAAAATAGTTTCAGTCTATTTTTCCCGAAATAAGGGTTACACGATGAATAGAATCTTACATTCGTGCCGGCGTACATGTATTATGAAATTCATCAAACTCGTAAAATAATTTGACGTCACTCGTCTTAAGAATCATGACATATCAAATTACTGAACTCGTTTATTAAAATCCTCTATTAAGTCGGTGCACATATAAAATTCTCTATTTACTGTTTACATTGTTCTGCAACAACAAATGCAATTATCTGAATTTTGATTAAAAAACAATAAACATCATATGTACAACAAAAGCAACAATGTAGGCAAGGGTAGCAGAATGTTATTATCCCGAAATAAAAACAAGAATCAATGATAACAGTGAAGCCATGAATAGCTATCCTTGTCCATATCGATATCGAAAGATCAAGATAAGTAACTAATGTCGAGATAAGTAGCTGATGTTTAGATAAATAGCCGGTGTCGAGATAAGAAGCTGATGTTTAGATAAATAGCCGGTGTCGAGATAAGTAGCTGATGTTTAGATAAATAGCCGATGTCGAGATAAGTAGCTGATGTTTAGATAAATAACCGATGTCGAGATAAGTAGTTGATGTCGAGATAAGTAGCTGATGTCGAGATAAGTAGCTTATGTCGAGATCAGTAGCCGATGTCGAGATAAGTAGCTGATGTTTAGATAAATAACTGATGTCGAGATAAGTAGCTTATGTCGAGATCAGTAGCTGATGTCGAGATAAGTAGCTGATGTCAAGATCAGTAGCTGATGTCGAGATAAGTAGCTGATGTCGAGATAAGTAGCTGATGTCGAGATAAGTAGCTGATGTAGAACAGTCGGTCATGTCTTTTATTTCCATTTCTGGTATGTATATAAAATCCTTACAGTTCGTGATATTTACAAACAAAATATAATCCATTATACAAAATGCTGAGGAATCGGGGGTATATTCTAGAGACAGGGGTCAGTCTATCTGTGGAGTATATTCTAGAGACAGGGTTCAGTCTATCTGTGGAGTATATTCTAGAGACAGGGTTCAGTCTATCTGTGGAGTTTATTCTAGAGACAGGGGTGGGTCTATCTGTGAGGTATATTCTAGAGACAGGGATCAGTCTATCTGTGGGGTATATTCTAGAGACAGGGGCCAGTCTATCTGTGGGGTATATTATAGAGACAGGGATCAGTCTATCTGTGGGGTATATTCTAGAGACAGGGGTCAGTCTATCTGTGAGGTATATTATAGAGACAGGGGTCAGTCTATTTGTGGGGTATATTATAGAGACAGTGGTCAGTCTATCTGTGAGGTATATTATAGAGACAGGGGTCAGTCTATTTGTGGGGTATATTATAGAGACAGTGGTCAGTGTATCTGTGAGGTATATTATAGAGACAGGGGTCAGTCTATCTGTGAGGTATATTCTAGGGACAGGGATCAGTCTTTATGTAAAGTTTATTCTAGAGACAGGGGTCAGTCTATTTGTGAGGTATATTCTTGAGACAGGGGTCAGTCTATATGTGAGGTATATTCTAGAGACAGGGGTCAGTCTATCTGTGGGGTATATTCTAGAGACAGGGGTGGGTCTATCTGTGAGGTATATTCTTGAGACAGGGGTCAGTCTATATGTGAGGTATATTCTAGAGACAGGGGTCAGTCTATCTGTGGGGTATATTCTAGAGACAGGGGTCAGTCTATCTGTGGGGTATATTCTAGAGACAGGGGCCAGTCTATTTGTGAAGTATATTCTAGAGACACGGGTCAGTCTATTTGTGGGGTATATTCTAGAGACAGGGGACAGTCTATTTGTGAAGTATATTCTAGAGACACGGGTCAGTCTATTTGTGGGGTATATTCTAGAGACAGGGGCCAGGCTGTATATGAGGTATTTTCCTCAATTATTATTACATTCCTAACTGCTTGTCAACACATAAAAGGTCATTGAGGCCATCAACCGGTTAAACACACAGCGATCCAAAAAGGAAATAACATCAAAACAAACTAAAAGTTAAAAGACAAATGCCAAAAAATCTTAAATTGTTATATCATCGCAAAAGATTAAAATATCTTTTAAATAAAGGTCAATGCAGCAAAAAAAACCCCGCTGAATGGCTCATTAGATCATATACACCGAGGGTTATCTTCGCCTTTCAACATATATGAATGTGTAAGGTATGTATAGCCCACTTGAAGACGGGCAAGGACAACTTCGTCTCGGTGGTTGTCTCTATAGCATGAACACCATTCACCGATGCATTTTATTCTTGGTATATTAATTCCATTCCTCCTGTCACTGAGCTGTTAAAAACTATCATAAATGGTTTAAAATCAATACAATGTTGTTTTAAAACAACAAGTGGTAACGATAAAGCTTCCTTTGGGGGCACAATATGTTTTTTTCATTGCTTGGTATTCCCATGTGCCCAGGAACCCAGCAAAAAGCAATGCGGAAGTTAAAGACATGTTCACGATATAGTATTAATGTATAACGGATGAAAATATTTTCGATATCTTTTTATTGTTAAGACTTTGTAGTATTGAAAGAGAGTCTGAATAGATGGCTCGCGCTTCCGCCGAGAATGTAGAGGCGTTGTTCGGTGACCGGCATCCAGACGCTTCATCTTGTGAAACCATGGCTGCGGCAACCTTATCATTATCTTTTGAACTATAAGTTTATAAATGAAGAAAAGTTTTATATTTTAACTGTAATTTCGAGAAGAATGAACAAAATGTGCACCTGTCAGTGTCTGATTTAACCATTTCATGAAAGGAAAGGAAATTTTAGGTGAATTCCAGAGCCAGCATGGAATTTCTCTAGTTTCAAATCACTGAATGCGGTGGATATCATTATTTGTGTTTTGTAAAAGAACGGAAATCCGAATACAGAATGGTGGAATGGTCTTTGGTTTGTTTTGAAACAAGGTTTTATAATTGGGATCAAATATAAGTGAAAAAGCAGGATTTGAAGGATTTTACTTTAGCTGAATGGTGTATTGCAAAGCCAATTTATTTCGATGGCTATGTAATGATGGTTCGTTAGCCTCTACATAGAGGCTTGCTGTAGGAGTGGTCTTAAAAGCTCATAGAGCGAGCTTCAAACCCTGGTGATGAACAATGTCGAATGATTTGAGATATGAAGGTCTAGCAGATCCATACACCATGGAACCGTAGTCTTATTTTGATATAATAAGAGTCTTAGCAATACTTTTCTATTAGCAGTGTGGGACATCACCTTAAGAGTATTCTTTGCCTTAAGGCATTTGGCTTGAAGATATTTCATATGTGGATTGAATAACAATTTCCTGTCAAATATTACACCAAAGAAATTTATTTTCTCACCAACCGAATGGGTACACCACAAAAAATAGAATTGGATCGTCGTGTTGTTTTCGAATTTGACAAATATGCATACAAACTGTTTTTAATTGTGAAAATGTTAGTCCATTTTCATCTGCCCAAATTTTAAGTCGATTGAAACATTGTTGTAGTTGTCTTTCGATGGTATATGCTTAGATCGATTGCGTATAATGCAGTCATCAACATAAAGAACGCTCTCCATTGAATAGGATAATGTTTTGACAATATTGTTAATTTAAAGTCCAAAAAGTGTAACCGTGAGAATGCTGCCTTGTGGTACACCCATTTCCTGCTGATGATCATCGGAAAAGGTCGTTCCATTCCGGACTTAAAATACTCTATCTGATTGAAAATTTGAAATAAAAATTGGTAGATTACCTTTAATACTTATATCGAGCAGATCTTTCATTATGCCGTATTTCCACGTTGTGTCGTAAGCCTTTTCCAAATCGAAGAAATCATCAACCAAGGGCTCCTTCTTTAGAAAAGCTCCACGCACAAATACGTAAAGTCTAATTAAATGATCGCTGGTACCTCGCTTACATCTAAAACCTCTTTGTAGGGGTGATATTATGTGATTTGATTCCAGATACAAAATTAATCTTGAATTTATCATCCGCTCTAGAATTTTACAAACGCAACTC